CCCCCTAGGCGTATGACGTTGACTCAACCATGTCTTGTCTAGTGCCTCTACTGCGACGGTTCGCCAGCATACCGCCAATTCTCTTTGTGATGTAGCTGATGTTCGAATGTCCGTTACCGAGGCTGAAACACGACCTATCATATTCATTCTGCATTCCCCTAGGGAAATCGTCGTCAAGGACGTAGGTGCTGTCCTCAAATGTTGAATTGTTAGCACATTGATTTCTTGCGTTTGCTTGCTCTCGAGACGCCCTTTCTTCAGGCTCCATCTCCGTTTCATACTTCGCTTGACCTCAACCGTCGTCTGTCCAGCTGAAAACTCGATTATACAGGTATGGACTCGGTCAATAAGCGCTTCCGCATATCCGAAAGCCATTGCCCCAACGACCTTTCGCGTCCGCTTTCTAGGGACGCCGCACCGAGGTGCTTCTGTTACAGCTCTAGGAGAGACTGTTTTGAGAGTCGCCAGACAAGGGGCGAGTCGCCAAATCTGGGCGTTCTGCAAGCTTTCAAATACAACTTCGGAACCTTGGAACGTGTGCATACCGGTTTCAATTCCACGCTGACCGATTCCTAGTGTAATATCAACATTCGTTCTTTCCAGAAAGTAGAAAGGGCGAACGGTGTGCAGGTGAACGTTATTAGAAAACGTTCAATAATCCATCAGTCTGGAGTACTAGAGTAAGGCGGTTCAGAATCGCTGGTCACTTTTCTTCGAATTCGGAAGGTCCAACAGCGATTGTCACTGATATTCACGCAAATCATTCGAAGACGGGCAAAACGTCCAGAGTTGATTGACTCTGGGTTTCCTCGGTCTCAGCATCGTCCTTGGCCGCCGGGTATGGGATATGAATGATATCGAGAACAAAGGCAAGGTGGGCAGGGAGAAAGGGTCTTCCCCCCAAAGTTTGCTCGAAGGTATAAAGACCCAAACTTCCTCAGACACTGCGGATCGTGAAGTCTGTCAATACACTGGACAAGGTAGGACGCAGACTTCTAATCTTAAGCTGGCAGGTAGCCCTTATGCCTGTGGACAGATACCCTCCTAGGCCTTTACCATGCGCAGAGGTAGGTAGGAGTCAATGAGGTCTATACGCTCGTAAGGGCACTTTTAAATGGGTGTTTGGCCGTGGCCCTGAGGTTTCGTTCAGTCCTGGACAGCAGCCATAAATACCTTGTACAATCTGGATACAAGGTAAACTTGGCTCAGACAAATCGACCTTGGTGAGATATGCAATGAACCACAAAAAACATGGAACGTCTGAACTTCTCAGGAAAGCAGCAATGAGGAAGCAGACGCTCATCCCCGTTTTCTTTCATGATCGATGAATATTCAATATCTGGAAAGAACGCGGAGAGACTACTCCAAACAACTCTATATCGGCTTATCATGGCTGACAAAGGTTTGTTGAGTTTTGAAGTCCCAATTCGCATTTGGTAATCGCAACCAAGAGTACCCCAATCTCATCTACAGAATATTCTAGATACCTACCAACCGGCTGTTAATAATTTTCAGCACGATGCGAAAGCGATAATGGAACTAAATGCTCTCAGAGAAGTCTGCAGCAAGATCTATTACTACTGAGACCGAAGATATCATTGTAGGACGGCACGGAGTACTCTAAGTCTTCTATTCTTCAAAGACGCTCTGAATGAGCACACTGGCCACTACAGATATATTCTCGATATTCTCCATCCCTGCTTTGTGAGTGGTAACCCGGGCGAAGTTACAGTCAAACTTTGGCTAGCTAGTCGACAGAACTGGCATTGAGGAAAGCAGTGACCGAATATCCAGGATTTCAGATCCAGAACCAGACGAAGGATGATATGCAGCATGTAGGTTTGGACAGATGAGGTTGGGTCCCTTTGGTCAAGATCAGAATGATGAGGTACACCACATGGCCATCGAGAATAACGACAAATCTGATCATTGTTTCCTGTGGACACACGAGTGTACCACATCAGAGCTTCTCGCACCACCCCGAAAGAACTTGAAGATCTATAACTACGGGCGCTATCTAAGATCAATGCTGGTTTTGACCAAGAATAAAATAATTAAATCTAGATACTTCTGTCCGCAAAGACTCAATAGATCTAGCACGCTTCACTCGCTCATGGCGGCAATCGCCATCGCGCTATACGGAGTGGCCGAGCAGATACCCGTTGCGAGCATCCTTCGGCGGCTGGCAAACCGCTGTGGGAATTTGGTCGAGCAGGTTGGTCCATCCTTTCCGCTGTGTGGGCTGGGTGGTCATTCTAGGAAACTACAACCCGTCCATCAGACCGTGAAATACTTTTCCCAACTTCCCCAGAACGCTAGGTATACGTTCGCTGGCAGTCAAACACAATTCTTAGAGAATAGCCCGTTAGCGAGGCAGAGGCTCTATGCCTTTCAACGATATCGAAGATTACTCGAGGAACTTGCCTGATCCGCTCCTTCATGCTGCCGAATTCGTAAATGCGAGAACAAGTCGCCGACCTCGTGGACCAACTTCTTTCGCGATCCTACGAAGTCAGCTTTGCGGACACGAATAATCGCCTCGATCAGGTAGGCACCGGGGCATCTTCTCCTTCAAACGCGGTGCAGACCATGACCCAGCCGGCCTAGAGGTTCACCATTCTCTTGATCAAGCGGAAACGAACAGGCTTTGGAGTTACATCCTGCAATACCATGCGGATCTCGCGGAACCGGAGCGATGGACCTGTCAGACACAAGCTGCTGATTCGGTCGCCATGATCCTCCTCCTCTCATGGAGTAGCGTAGGACCACGAGTTCAAAAAAGCCACTCGCATCCGATCTGATGACAACGCGATGCTGGCTCCTACAACCCCACCACCATACAGATTCCAGTCCTTGGAGGTGGTGGCCCCGTGTCCGTCGCGGTCAAGGAATCGCTTTGGCCATCGTCGCCCTCGACGCGCCATGCACGATGGGCTTCCAGACCAGGCGACGAGTGGGCAGGAGGGCCGGGCCACTCAGGGTTCTACCTCGATTTTCCGTCATCGGTGTCTGCACCTATCCTTCCAAGCCCGGGAACCGTCTACCGACCTGGTGGAATGGTGGGCTTCGTACAGCATTTTAAGGTTAGGTCGTTCTGGTTCGTTCAATGCGGGTAGCTCACCTCTGCATCTCCACCGCTGCAGCATTGTCTTATTGATAGTAGCGGTCAGCCAATGACCTGGATATGCTGTTGGTAGGCAGGCAGACTGCGACGTCGTCGCTACTGTTTCCAGACCTGTCGAGACGCCTTTGTGCATCAATCTCGAGCTTGAGAAGTCTTATACTGAGAACAATGAAACCATTGTGCTACCGTGAACAACGCCCTTGTCTCTTCCCCTTGCATCCCTTGAAACAATTGCATTCTCCTCGACAAGCTCTACATAATCCAACATCTCATCCCCTCCCCTCCAATCCTCTACTTTCGAACCCCACAGCACCCCCACAACCCAACCCTCTCCCCTCTCCAACAAATCACACAAAAAAACGAAAGAACCAACCAACCACCCGGACACCCACCCGGCCGAAACTCCACAACAAAAAAAAATGTGCACCAACGCCCTAACCCAATGGCGCTGCGGCTGCGTCCGCTCCCGCGACCGGACCCCGTGCGACCGGAAAGCCGCCGTCGAGCAATGCGGGTCCGCCACGAGCCAGGTCGTCGGCGTCGAGGCGACCATGTGCCCGGCGTGCCACGGAGCGTTCCTGGCGGCGGCGGGGTCAGAGGTTGCGGTGGTTTAACGAGCGGGCGTGCGTGTGGAACCGGATGGTGGTGCAGGATGCGGGTCGGTAGGGGTGTGGGGGGGAGGGGAGGGAGGAAGGAAGGAAGGGGATTCGCTGTTTTGGTGGAGTAGGGGAAGTTTTGCGATGAGAGGGAGGTGGTGGCGAGGTGGATCTTGGGGTAGGTGGTGCTGGTTGGGTTTTCGATGGTTGGATCCGACTCGGTGTGATAGGGGGGGATTCATAGCATAACAGAGCCTTTTTCAATCTGGATACTCCGCCACGATGCATTCAACATTGCGAGATCCGCGCCCGTCTGCCAGCGGGATGTGCTCACCGTGAATTCCACGGCCGGAGTCCTCGAATGACGAATCGACACTCCGATTTCCCCCTTTCCTAGCACCGCACCCCGTAGCTCCCATCACATGCACGTTCAATATCTGCGATGAAAAATCGCTCTCGAAACACCAATCCCAGGTGTCCAACGGCCGAGATTCCGGCCGAGAAGTCAGGCCCTCAGCATTGCCATGGAAGCGAGCGGAAGAGCAGGCGTGATGTGGAAACGACAGCCGCGGGCTTGCGGCTTCGAGACCCCGTGTAGCGGTACGGTAGTTCTCATGACTTGGAGTTGGAGCGAGTAACTCTCCGCATCCGCACCGGGAAGTTGTTTGGAACGGCGATGTGTGAGGTTGGAAGATGTTGGTGTGAAGAAGGTGGCGCGTTGGTGTGGTCGGCTGGTATGAAGAATGTTGCTGAACCTCCTATGAATGGCGGCGGCCGCCTCGTCGTCAAAGAACCACCTCGGGCAACCCGCGCGATACCATCTTCAACCCGAGCCTAGCTTTTGAAAGTCTTATGTAGTTTTTCAATTTAGTGGTATATAAATCCATCTAATCCTTCCTCTTGAATAACACTGCTATTCAGCACTCCAAGGATCCACAGGGGAGATAGAGAAGCGGCAGCATGGGACACACGGCATCGTATTCGGACCTACCAACCACCTGCACCAAACCGTTAACATAGAGCGAGCGTGGTGACGACGAATGCCCATCCATCCATCATTGCAGCGCCAAAATCATCCCACCAACCATCCAACCCCCCAGCTCCACTCAAAGCCATCAGCCCAAACTATCCCTCCCAAGAGGTCCCAATCCCAACAGCTTTCAAGTAAGTCAAACACTCGACTCTACCCCGTGCTCGAATTCCCCACAGCTTGGACGGGACGGGACGATCGAAAAAAACATAGATCCCATCACAACATCTTCGCGCCACCGTGGCCCAGAATGGCTATCCTTTGCATTCTGCAGAGGCCGAAAGAGGGCCCGGAGAACCCGCGTCTCCTTTCCGGTATTTTCGAGGGTGGAACCGATCGAGGCGTCAGCGCACGCGAGAGGATGCCGCGACGGACTTCTAGGCTAGGTAGATCCAAACACGCCTTCGGGACGAAGAGGCTCATTGTGGGCCATCGGATGCCCATTGACGCGGCCGGGAACGTTGTCGGAAAGCTTGGGTTTGGTTCGGGCGCAGTGAATGTGTTCGGTTGTGGGGAGGGATTGCGATGTTACGGGAGCGAGCTTTACGGGTGGCTCTCGTTGACGGGCTTGGGGTATTTGCCGGTTTGATATGATGAAAGAGGGGATGTGGTCTGGCTGGATCTAGGGAGATGAGGGCGCTGGGGAAGAGGGGGATGCGAGCAGGTGGTTTGCAGTTGGAGCTGTAGGTGGGTTTGGGTACGCTTGGGGCTGGCGTTGGCTAATCTGTAGAGTTTCTTGGGTTAAAGGTTACAACCGCCACGGCATTCGTTCTCACGACGTTTTGCATTTGGTCTTGGCATGCCATGCGGTATGGCCAATTGACTTCAAAGTATCAAGACCCGCCCATCGATCCTTCCTAATAAATTTCCCAAACATGACTCCTCTCCTAGCTTCATAGTGAAACAAGAGTCTCCTACTCAATGCACACTTGCAGTATCGATCAGCGGCCTTTTATAGTCTCGTCTTCCCCATGCTAAGTACCAAGTCACGCTAAAAATCAGAACCGCTCCTGTGACCAGTATGGTGTAATTCATTTTAGCGCCATCGACCGGCACGTCCGGTGGCCAGAAGCTGAAGAACAGAATGACGAGCACGTAGATGATGGCAAACAAGTTGACCGCAGGTCCCACAATGCCGGGGATATGCCAAGGGCCCCAGCTAAGCTCGAAACCAGGCGTGTTCGTGAGCTGAGATCCTGAGAGAGGGGAATGCCGAATTCCGCCGGTAGTGCGGCGCCAAAGGAGGAGCCCGATAGCCAGAACATACGATGCCGACAATCCAGTGACTGCTATAGATACAATGTTGTTAAAAGCTGTAGATGAGCCTAGTATTATCAGTGAAAGAAGGGTGGATGTTATGGTCGTGGCGATAATTGTTGCGACAGGGATCGATGTGCGTGGATTGACCTGCGGAGCACACGCAGTCAGCGGCAGAATTTGTCCACATCGAGGTGAAACGGTGTTTGAATATTGCATCATTTTACCTTCGCGAGAGTCCTATAGCCTGGCAAGCCTCGATCGCGTGCAAAGGACCAGGTCATCCGCGAACATGACGCTAACAAGCCAACGTTGGCAAATAGCTGCATAACGGTAATGTACAAGCCATAGCCGTTGCTCCAGCAGTTGAACCAGTTGCGTGGACGTATATGTCCACAAAGGCGTAACCGGTTGGGGAGTTTAGAGAAGACTGCAAATCAACAGTGACAAAGAGAGTCGCGATCATCATCGAAAGAGCCAATGCGCCATTAATTACGATACTGAACAGAATCGACCAGGGCACTAGAGTCGGAGCGTTCTGAATTTCTTCGGACATCTAGAAAGAGGGTGGTCAGCCCATTTTGCCAAGAATCCCAGTAGTGACCTACGTGTACTGCACCGTCGGCACCCAAGAACATGAAGACGGGTCCAAGAAGGCCGACCATGAACGAAGTCCCTTGGGTAAGCAAGTTGCCCAGGTTCAGCCACAGGCCAAAGACTTGGTGAGGGTCTTGGTGTTCTCCAAGGATCAGCAGCGGTAGCAGAATGGCGAAATATCCGACTATGTGGAGGACCAATATGAAACCCTCGAACTTCGGTAACACAGTACTGGCAAGCACGTTGATGAATACAGCGAAAGCCATCACCGCCCTGAACAATAGCATATGCTCATACGGTTTAGGGTCATAACTGAGCCGAGTCAGGACAATCAAGCCTTGAATAAGAGCTGCCGAGACAAAGTTGGCTGTGGCAAATGATGCTTGCCAGCCAATAACAGTAAGCCAGCCTACCAAACATCAGTCGAAATCTGTGAGTCGATAGTCTATGAGGAGTATACCAATCATATAGCTGAGTATTTTCTGCGACCCTGGTGGAGCAAGCATTGATACCCAGTGATATTGGCCACCGACGGTGGGGCCCTATCGGAAAGATAAGCTGAGATCATAGGGAGCTGTTGGTGGGCACAACATTGAAGCAAGTTCGCCCAATGAGGCATAAATTGCCAAGGTCCCTGCCCAAACAAAGAGAAACCCGTATATGAAGCCTGCGGGCCCTCCGCTGTCGCCGGAGGTCAGCTACAATTGGAGAAGACCAGGCTTTTGCAAGACTTACTTGAGGATAGAGACGTCGAATATGCTGGAGGAAAACTACGTCAGCACAGCAATAGTGTAGCTTATTCCCCCTTATATGAACACAGCTTCCCAGGTGATTACAATGGTACAGGTAAAGCCCAAGATCGATAGAAACCCGAAATTGCGCTATGACTATCAGCTCCACATGGTTCTCCTCAAAGCCAGGACACGGATGGCACCTTTAAGACTGGCAGTTTGCCCAATCGAGAGAGCACATCGAGCTATTGCTCACGGTTGTCCTGGGAGAACGTCTTGTTAAAACCACGGCTTTGGAGCCCGTCGTCTTTAGCTTCATAAACTTCTTGTAGCTCCATCTCGGCCATACTTGCAAAGGAGAAATAGGTGAAGCAAAGCACAAACAACCGAGCGGCGAGGACAAACAAGGAACGCTGACCAATGCCGGTTCAGCAAGATAAAGTCTGAACAGATGCAAGCAGGATGGCGACTTGCAGCGGTCGGATGAGAGTAGAGGATCTTGTCATGCTTGAATTGCGCCTCTATAAGCATGATGTGGAAACGCTCTATGCATGCCGAGACAATGCGTGCTGAGAATATGCAAGGATCAGCATGCGAGTACACTGAGAATGGCAGCCAGTCTTGCCTGCAATACAACAACGTTGATTTGCATGTTAGGCTAATAACCGAGGCAATGCAGACGCGATTGGTAGCCAATAGACTTCACTTCCATCCCCAAAATTTGCAGGGTCACCAGGGTGAAGAGCGGACGTTGCCGGCGGCCGCCCTTTCTCAACCGCATGATCCTGCAAGATCGGGGGTTCCAAACAGAGGAAACGGTGGGGACAATAGTGAAAAAGAAGCTTGGCTGATTGGTCCACTCCACCCGACTTGGGTTGTTATTGGATAATGGAGAAAGGATAATCGGAGCCCACTTTCTGGCTCCTAATAATGTACTTTATACATTTCTACACATTCAACCTGAGAGACTCGTGACGACGGGAGTTGAGTGCCGGGTGCCGAACTATTTAACACTTCTACTACGGCAGCTATTTCCGCCCCGCCCCGTCATGTCCCGGGGCTAAGGTACCTTAGCTCGCTTAGGTAAAGTACTCGTAGGCAGGCTGAGTCTTTGCGCCAATAGCCGACGTATGTCACTGCCATAACCAAAGGATACGATTGCGAAATGAAGACAGTTGGGATGAAAGTATCAACGTATACTCGCAGCGCATGTCATGTTAGGCTACGCACAATAATCACTGCAACTTTCGCAAATGTTGGCGCAACAGTAATGTGATCCATGCATGAGATGATGGCTAGTAGCCACTGGGTTTCTTGGGTCGGGTGGACTAGCCAAAGATGGCCGCTTTTTCAAGGTGATCATGCTCAAGCAGTCCCGGGTCAAGTGATAAGAGATGAGCAGTGTCCCAGCTGTAAGCACAAGCGTCGAGGCAGTCCGGTGCACACCAATTGAATTTCTCATCCAGGCTACCGTGACCGGCATCGATCGCTGGATAGTTCTGTGCCAAAAGGATGGATTTATGGGTCATGCTGCAGCACATCCGTTGTCAGATATTGCGAAGCCTAATCACTCCTTCCATGCCCTGGTCGATAACAAGGAGCCTTGCGCCCTCGAGTGCCGACTCAATGTCTCATGAATAGTTTGACAGTCAGTCAATTTCATCTCCTTATATCGACTACCTATCCTTTCCCTATGGCTCGAACACTCATCGCAAGCGATAATCTCTCCCCCCTGGTGTTGATTATAACATGGTTTCTGTGCATAATCTCGGTCTTGAGCATGGTGGCCCGAGGTGCTACTAAAATCATCTCCACTCGCTCGATAAAGTCTGAAGACTATTCGAGTCTCTCATCACTGGTGATCTCATGGCTCAGTCCAAGACGGGTGTTAGAATTTGCTAACCTGAACGATTTTTTATCAAGTTTCTCGCGATTGCTCAGTCCGTTGCCGTCACCGTCCGAACCTCAAATGGGCTGGGCAAACATACCACCGCCTTGGGCGCTGCTCAAATCTCGGCCTATTCGAAGGTGGGCTCATCTGTCACCAATTGTACAAATTGAATCCACACTGATCTGGATCATAGGCTACATACGCTGCCAACATACTGTACATAAGTAGCATGTGCCTTTCCGAGCTCTCAGTAGTCCTGTTCGTTGGGAACATCACCCCAGTGCGACAAGACAGGCAATTACTTCTCGGTGCGGGAAGCGTTACGATCCTTTGGACTGTCACGGCATTTATAGTCAGTGCTGCCGAATGTGGTTCACCAAAGCCATGGGACTACGTCACTGGCCACTGCATCAATCGCGTTGGTTTTTCCCTCTTCCGACTTCCACGACATTGCTTGGAAAGCCGCTAAATTAGATTCTAGGTCATGTGGTGGAACTGCGTCGAAGTGATGAACATCTTGATCAACGCCGCTCTGATCGCCCTACCAGTGTGGATTTTATCCAAGGTGCAGATCTCCCTTCTCAAGAAATCCTCTGTGGGGTTGGCCTTCGCACTGCGGATTACGTGAATGCCCCTCGGAATGAATGGGATTTCTTCAGTGATGCTTACGGGACTACCAGGGTCTGTATCGCCTCGATCGGTAACCTTGTCTACTGGAACAGAGCTCGAGACTCCCACGATCTGACCTTCGAAATTTGGCCCGTCGCACTTTGCACGCAAGCGGGCCAATGCATGAGCATAGCGTCCTTCTCTTTTCTCTATCTCAAGCCCCTCTTCGAGATCCTTGACACCGGCTTTATCAGGAGCGATGAGTTCCGGCGGATGCGACAGTTAAATCCAGAAGGCTCATACAATCTCTCCACCATGAGTTCTGGAAACGAGAGGAGAAAAAAGGGCAAAGAACTGGCGAGGCTGGCCCGGACAGAGAATAATGACACCACCATCACCGCTCTTGAGAACGGGTCAGGATGGGATGGTGGGAGCCAAGGCAGTGAAGCGCACATCATCAAAGAGACTCGGACATTCACGATCGAGAGTTCAGCGGCCGGAGAAGATCGGGGGTTCCCTTAGTTGGAGTTGTGGCGCATTGTTTATTCGTCCCTTGTCTCCGGGGTTGAGTCCCGCATTGTTGGCTGCATGACGATGCATTTGCCCCCACCTCTCCTTTCCCCACCCCAGGTAAAACTTAATGAATGCATAAAACGAACCTAGTTCTGATCCTTTCGTAACCCATTCTCTCTCCTAAATATTCCCAGTCTTTCCTACAACTGCCACCCACCAAACAAACGTCCCATCACTTCCAAGTCTACCAAAATGATCCCAAACAGCCCATGCTCCTTCAGCATCTTGGCTGTTAACATTTGCAACCTAGGCTCGAAGAGAATTCCCATCTTTTGAAGCCACCGATCAATGGTAACTGTGTATACAACGAAGACGTCACGGTCATGGTCTGACTTTCCTCCAACCCTTTCCCTCATATTCGCCCCTTCCCCCAGCCCATCCACCTTACAGTACTTCCACAAAAAAAACCATCTCTGCTTCCCCACTCACATATGACCATGGCAACAAGGTCGGGAACAGGTAACGCTGCGTTTGTGCGGACAGCGGAAGACTACCCATGTCTTGGCAGTTAGTACAGATCTCAGGGGGCATCAAAACCCCGTTCCTTCCACAGCACGACTCAACAATAAAGCGAACTACAGCAACATCGCAAACATCATGATTCTCATTCTCAAGCAGATCCAACGATACAGAACGTGATCGTAAACCTATCCAGTCAAAAAGTCACAGCGTCGCAAAGGAAAGAACCACCTACCAAGAGACCCTCCCACCAATCCGCCAAACCCATGCAAATTCCAAGAAAACCGTTCAGCACCCTTGCCCCATTCTTGCTTCCAAACCGTGACAATTCCGAGCGACGCAACCCAAACACGTAGGCCCAACGTCCCCGCACGTTCCGGGAACGAAGTCGGCGGCCGGAATCATGCTCGAAGCTGTGGTGTCAGCTCGTGTACTGCTGCGAGACGATTTCGCTTCCTGGTCGCACGGTCGCATCCTCTCCCCCCGCCGCGAGAAAAGGGCTCCCGTACAAAAAACGTCGCCCGGCGAGCCCTGTGGCTCTATTTGGGAGGCGGTCTTGTGGCGCTTTGCTGCTCCTGCGACTTGGGATGTGAGAGTGTTTCCAGCTGTGTGGAGCTGATCTGCTAAACGGTGCTCGAATTGGGGGACGGGAGTCGTCCGTTGGCTCGGTATGTTGCTGGAAACTGGCAAGGGCGGCCGTGGGTGTACCGGCATGAAAGTTCTGGACTGGTGCGGCGATAGTGCAACCGGAATCCAAGGAGAATTTTTCGGCTGTTGGTCAAACGGCCTGTTGTACTCTGAGTGGAGGACGTGGTTCACTGTGGAGATTCCACCGTGACGTTTTTGGAAATCAATTTGATGTGTTTTGCAAACCGGACATGTATAGCTGCGACCTGATCATTCAATACGTGAAGAACATCTGCCTTGCTGTCTAGTGTCATTGGTGTATTTGATCGGGATATGTATCTATTTCCAGCGATTCTCCATAAACGCAAGTACTAGGAATTGGTATATCTATTAGAACCTTTTTAGCATTAACAAAATCAAGGGCCGTGCAGGGGCTTCTTCCTTTCAGCCATCTGGCAGACATAGGTCCGCGTATAATGACGATTTTGTCGAAGTTCGTCGAGCCAAAAAAAAACAAATCGTGATTATCCCAGCTGATGAGAAAGGCGCCATCATCCGCCAGATCCAGGCTTCCGGTATTGGTTCTTGGATCTTTCAAGTTCCCATCGCATTTACGAACCTTCTCCATGTTCCATCAAGTACGGATCGATTAGGCCATTACTCCCGATCTGGACGCAATTTTGAGTGTACTGTCGAAAAATAAGATTCCCAACCTCCTCCCAGCCACCTGTTGGAACAACCACCCAATTTGTGAGGGGTACAAATACTGGCCCAGGGGAGTCTTGAGATCGAATACTTCATGCGACCTACACACCACTCTTCCTACCCTACCTGAATTACGACATGTACAAGGCTTCGGACTCTTGGACGGTTGACAAGTTCTTTGGATGGATTCATGATGTTGAGCATAGCAACAGGGAATGAACGAGGAGATGTCCGAGATCTCATGTCGTCAGGCGAGGAACAGCGTCTCACCCAAACGCACGGGGCTAGATTCAGTTTGGAAAGAAATAAGTGACTGCAATCTCCCTCGTCGGAACATTCTATACTTGATGCGAGTAGGGAGGGAGAGGATTTGCAGATGACGTTCCTCAAGTGAGTCGAAGTACTGTTGGAGTGAAGGCACGAGGGGGGCACTGATTGAACACGATGTTTGGTGGAGGATGAGTCTGGACGTTTGATTTTGAAAGATTGCTCGTATGAGAGTCTCGAAAGAGATGAGTGATTGTACACTCATAAGTGCGAAAGACGGAAGATATTTTCGGGTGGCTGCGGTCTCGGCAACGGTCGCGCTGAATGTTGAATCTAGAGGAAGAGAACTTCAGAGAAATTGCATAGGGTCTTCTTTGAAGGGTCTTTCTATGTAGAACAGTTTATAAGACTGTCAGAATCTAAATCAGTAGTTGGGGCTAAGTTATTGTTCATTGTACAGCTTCGAAGGTGAATGGAAGAAATAGTTTGAGTTACGAAAAGATATTACAGGTACAAAAGAGCGTACGCACAGACAATGAAGAACTCTTCAACGCTAATTTTCGGCTGACTCTACCGTCTTTCTAAGTCTTCCATACCTATTGTCTCGTCTGGGACGCTGAAACGAGGCACCTGGGTCCTAGTGTATTCAGCCTGAGAGGAGAAGCGATCACCTCCTAAGTTCTGAAAGATGCGCGTTTTGGAAAAGCTTAGCGAGTGTCTTGGTAGAAAGCTTTGAACACTTTGTAACAGATTGATTGGCCAAGTCTTTCTGACAGGGGACTGCAAGGCTGGCAGACAAGCAACGATGATCGCGAGACCTATCTCGAGAATCCCCCAGTAGAGGAATCGGGATGCGAAGATTGTTATGGGTTAACTAAGCGTGCAAATGTGAAAGAACTGGGCCTTACAATCGGGGTCGTCGAAGACCAGAGGCGCTGTTGTTCAGCTTAGTAGAGGTCGAAAAATGAAGACATCGGCTTACATGCTCCGCTGAAGTACAGTGAGAAGTCAAGTATCATTTGAATGAATGAATGAAGTTACTATAGCCCTTCAAGTATCAGTATCCTTGAGTTCCTTTTTTGGTGGCATTAAGCCGACAACTCCCAGAGTCCTGAGAAGGAAAATGCCGATGACAGTGACTCGCCTTCCCATTGGCATTTTCATCTTCCAGATCTGAAATTGTTGTCAGCATTGTTAGACACAGCGATCAGTGCATTAATACAGGTACCTATCATACCAAAGGTATAGGCAGGATCAGAAGAATAAGGTCAAGAATGGCGTCTGAGATGACATAGACGATTGTCATAGGCATAGGGTTGGGACGTTGGAGACCCGCGACCATCACAGGAATCCAATGTCTGCTAAAATTGATGCCGCATATGAAGCCGAAAGCGAGACAGAGAGCCGTGCTCCATAATGCGGGAATGAGAAGCATAATTCTAGTCGTCAGATCGAAGGGATCGCTGATTCCCATACCCACGCGGAAGATGCGGCGGTAGAAGAATACGATACTACATTTGACGAAACCCAGAGCCAGCGGAGCCAGGGTCTGAAAGAAATACGGTGTCATTGAGCTATCAGTCTTGCCTTCATGAACAAGTCAAGATGGGACTCTCCTACTTTTTCAGCTAAAGATTGCGCTGTGAGAGTTGACTCCTCGAAGCTCGATGCGTGTTCAACAGCTGAAGACGGGGTTGGGTACCCTATCGAGCCTTTCCTTTGACATCTGAGGCTCGGAGACTGTCAGGACGTGTATGATAGACTACGCCCGCTGCTGATACTGGCCGGCTATGATACTGGCGCCCATTCCAATGTTCAGGATCTAGATCGTGGTACAAGGACATGTATGACTGAGCTGGCGTTCGAGTTTCATACCAACCCGGGGAGTATGAGCCTGGAAAAGTATCAGATCAGAATCATTACAATAGCAGAGGATTCGAATAGAAGTGCCAGTCATCCATTGCAAGTTTGGCTTTCTGCAATTGCCTTGCGCGGAAACGGAGAGTCACAATGATGATGCCGAGCAAGGGGAACACGGTGCCAAAACAGACATTGATTAAGGAGTGCAATAACTCATTTCATCGAATGGGGGTTTGCTAAAATTCAGATTGCTGGATAGACACGTTGGGACTTCCAATGGTAAGGACTCTGGCTTGCAATAGCCTCAAAAAGCGCGTAGGTATGAATCAAACATGAAGGAACAGGAAGGTCTCAAAACGGGAAACAGCGTTTCTTGAGGGTTTGGCAGGTCGATGATCACGTGCGGTCGAGGTTCGAATCACGAGCTAATCAAATTTCAGCAGTTCAGAAAGTACTGTACAACTCGCCTCGATTTTGGAGGAAACTGTATGGGCTTGCCGGGCGTACCGAGGGTCTCTGTCTGTGAGAACCAGTGAAAGGATGTAAGAGAATTCGTTCAGTATTTGACATTCAAAATTTGGCTTCTCTGGGATCATGCACATCATTATCTGATTGGTGCGTAATTTGGCCCTCGGCTGCAAGAGGGACAGTCAGCAGCGAGATCGTCAGCGTGAATCAACGCGCGCACGCGATAAGCATTCAGTTCTATATCAACTTACCAATAGCTGTGCTGCGATCTTGCGTGCGCTTCAAGCTAATGATGCTGCCGACCGGGCCAAAGATTTGTGTGTGCAGTGTTAGCGCTGACCTTGCGCGTACGTACCTGCTTGTAACTCTACTCAGCCTTAAACGACGAAAGGTCCATTGATCGTTCCGGTTGTCATGTTCGGGAACGTGCTCGCTCTTGGGGTCGGTGGTGTCGGTACTGGCGCTGGTCAGGAAGGCCGCGAGCTCAGCGGGGCTTATTTCCGTAAATGATTGGCTTGTGTTGATCAACGAGGGGAGATAGCTAAGCTGGGCCATTCCCTGTACAACAGCCTGAGGGAAAGGCGGTTCGAGCGCGCAGACATAGAACGCCAACAACGAGATAATGCTGATAGGGAGCATCTCGATGGGATGGATGAGAAGAAGACGGCCTTGTATAGATGAGATGAGAAATGGGGAAGAATGCCGTCCATGTGTACAAAATCACTAATACAAGATAATGCAGATCAACCTGGACCAGACTAGAAATACGCGCAGAAATTTTCCCCATATGCAAGGTTATCAGGCCTTCCGTAGCGGAAGCGTTCTATATTTGTGACTTGGGCTACCGACGTTGGAGGAAACGGAGTGACGACCAAATACTAATGTTTCGTCAAGGTTGTTCAAATTTGCTGTGATGGCGCTACCATTTCGCGTGTATCTGCCCAATTTGACCCAGGCACTCCCGATTCTTTATCCAGTTGGGAGATTATCTTCTAAGACAAGTCCAGAAGGATCCAACTGCTCACCATCTCCCATGGCAAAAGCCGGCAGTGGCATTGAAATAGGAGTCCTTGGCATACCAAATGCTATTGACGCATGTTGACCATACACGAAAACACCGAGAGAATTACCGAGGCCTATCCACAGCGTCAACCAACAGTAATCCGAAGCTCTCAGATCAGAGTTATGAGCACCAGGAGACGTACCAGTAACCGCATACCCAACCTGTCGTTCAGATGGTCCATACAAACAGTGCATCCAGATCTCAGAGAGCGCATTGCGAATGTCGTAGAAAGTTGCGACATCCGTAATACGATATCGGGCAGGCTTCACATATCTCTGGGGTACGATATCCATGTCGACAACAGTAATGGTGCAGACGAAATTTGTGCCTATGACTTCGATGAGCTTCAGAGACCTGGTAGCGGTAAAGAGAACCCACCGGCGGTGTACTTTATCGGTGTTCGTATTACTTCCAAGCCGTGCGTTCCCCTCCGCCAGCGAGGTGCAAACTCGAGGGCTCTGCTGCCGTAATTGTTGATGTCTGCTTGCAGCAAGTTGGTCGCTGTTCTGCAGCTGTTGATGAACTCGTCGGGGACCGGTTTGTCGAATCCAAGCCAGGAGGCCACGCTGGCTGAACATGATGTAAAGATGTTTGACGTGTCACCAAAGATGGAGATGTTTGGGGTTGAGGTGCTGTTGACAACGTTTGCTGGCAGAGTGCTGTTGAATGGGAGTTTTGTAGCAATGCATGTCTGAAAACTGGAAGGAATGACAACGCTTGATATGAAAAAAGCCCAGAGAGGCTTCATGTTTTATTCGTCGCCTTGAGTATGATCATGAGATTAGATGCATCGGGAGATGAGTCTATCCAGATGTGAAAAATAGAGTTATAGGTGAGCAGTTCGCGTAGCGGCAGAGCGCAAGTCGACAATGCAGTCCATGCGAACGTCTGTCCCCAGAAACGCTCGGGACTGCGCCACAGGATGTCTCTTTCAACAGTTGAAGCGATGCTCGAGATATGATGTAGCCCAGCTTCGTCGGCTTCAGGGCAGGAAGCGCAATCTCTTCTGAGAGGTTCTCGAGGCTGTGTCACATAGCCGAAGCGCCGCAGCAGTGTTTGCAATCATATTGAACTATTGTCAAGTCCACAGGACCATATCATAGCTACATAAATTTGCTGGTCTCGGGGTTTAGTATCTATCATGTACTGGCTAAGTTGTCTCTCATCGTTCTTGCTTCAACGATAGGATCAAAGTCCGTCTTCCCTAGGACGTAGTTCTGCACTTCTAGGTCGACCTCATTGTCATCACAATCGTTCAGGACGAAATGCTTGAGTCGTAGAAATTTTACCTGCCTCAATCGAGTGAGTAGCGACGACCAATTGCCATCTAGCAGTGTCATCCAGCCAAGCCGAATCTCGACCAGGGTGGCTGCGTGGCTGCCAAAGAAATGAACCATGTCATTTGCCTCGGACGCGTAGTTGTAAACGTCCAGCTTCTGCAGACGTTGCAACTTGCTTGAACCGAATGCGCTTATCAAAGACGGCATTTCCCCTGAAACCTTGTCACTGATCTCACCTAAGGTGACTTTCTCGAGGTTTGGGCTGAGCCCTATGATTTGACGTATCGCCGTCATTGTTTCGTTCAACTCCTCTCCATGGTCGGAATTCGTCTCGATTGATGAGATCTCCAATGAACGTAATTCTCTCAAGGTCTTCCTGCCTTCAGGCTCGTCCGCGAGATAGAACGTGTTCAACAGGGCTTCTGAAGATATTGTTCTAGGACGGTTTCTTCCACCGTCTCGTGCAGAGCTTAAAAATTCAAGCAGGGAACATCTGGTGCCGAATCCTTGGAGATCCTGCCTGAATTCTTCATGTTCTCCAAGCTTGAAGGTCTTGATGTTTGCTTTGGAAGCTATCATGGCCCCAAAGATCAAGGGAAGCAGGTGTTCGCAGTCGTACGTCAGCGACAGTCCAGCCTTCAGTGTTCCGAACGCGGTCATCAACTCCAAACAACCAATGCTGAAGTTCAAGAAGTCAATCGTGATGCTCGAGAGCTGTGGTAGTCTTCTCATCCCCTCGATGAGGATTTTAGAGTCGATACCCTGTGAGGACAGAAGGCGTTGTGTCTCAATGGAGCTTTTGTAGGCAGCTATGTGCCCTGCTGAGGTCAAAGTTTGAGAGTCTTCCCAAGAGGACCCGTGGCTGGACAAACGGCGTACTTGATCAAGATACTGATCCGCGCTCCCATGGTCGATGAACCGCAATGGTGAGAACACAATCTCCTTGACATATTGGGATAGCTGGTGGTGCTCTGAGATAGCTTTGAATTGCTCCAAGCTTTTGAGGCCAAGCCACACAGGGATCGTATGGAATAGCGAAGATGCAGCTGCTGTAGCAAGTGTTTTGCTGACAAGTCGTACACGGAGCAGATCTTGCCTTGGCAGAGCACTCACGATGTCATAAAGCAACTCGCCAGGAAATTTCTCGAGCGGAGAGAACGACAGTAACTGGTAGACGTGCATTTTTAGTGATGAATGAGCTGTGATGAGCAAGAAGGTCCAGGAGGAGAATTGAGATTTGTGATCCAGGGGGGCTGAGCAAGTTAAGAAGGAGGCTAGTGAAGATGGTGCTGGCGCATGTGAAGCTTCCATGTCTCAGGTCGGTTGAACACTTTCTTACGCTTGGTACTGATTGGGCCTCCGTATCGGGCTAATTCTCATTACTGTGGTAAACGTGGGTCGAACGTTCCCCTTTGTCTGAGTCTCTCAAGGAGGATGGAAAAGTTGCTGGAAATTTGGGCCTGAATGTCTCACTGAATGTCTCACGGCCTGGAGTAATACAGAGCTGTCAGTGCTGAATCACTAGGTAGACTCTCACTTGATATGAGAGAAATCAGATAGACAGATACATGAACGCATTCCTTATCCCTTTCCTTGTGGCCGGGACGTACACGCTAGTAGGGGTCAAATGTAGGGGTATGGATTGGTCAGATCGACGTTGCCGCGCTCATGAGTAAGCAAAGTCTTAAGCCGCAGTGAACCGCGATCATTGGACAAATGATAATCCCTACATTTGACCCCTACTAGCGTGTACGTCCCGGCCACAAGGAAAGGGATACTTGGGTAATCGTGCCGTACTATTCCCATTCGTGTCATTTATACCTCGTAGGCTATGTATGTGTACTGGCACAATGGGAAAAGCGAGATCCAGGGGACGTCCTCAGTACGAACATGCGGGAGGATTGCATCCACTCAGGCATTCTTATTGTTACAGTCCCTCCGCAGAAGTATTTGTCCGTCACTCTACCCGTTCTAGGGCAGACCCTGTACTTCGTACGCTTGTATTGTCACCACTGAACCGTACGAGTATCTTGAGATCCTGCAAAGTTGGTGTGGCTCAGGTTCTTAAAGCTTGTAAATTTTCATCAACCCGGACTCTGAGCATCAATGATACGTCGATATCGTGCTGCGTAGTGTAATACTCCTCTTTACAAAACCATTTGCTGGGAGCGCCCGTTTGGCGGAAACCACCCCATAATATCAAATTTTCGCCGTGACCACCGCTAAATGTGCGTAAGAGGTATTTCACATTATATAGATATAGAACCATATTCAAGTAGCCGTTATAATAGTAGTTACTATAGCTATTATAAGTAGATTATAAGTAATTACTATCTAAAAATCAGGTAGAACCTCTATATAGAGTAATAAGAAAAAAAATAGGCTAAGATATATTAAAATAAAGCTCTATAACTATACTCCCTATATATAGCGTATTAGACGACTAGACTATATTAGAAATATATCGTTAAATAACTTATTAATAGATTTTTATATATAAAATTAATTTATAAGAATATAATATAATAATAAGATATATTCTATAATATAGCTTTATCGAACTATCTCTTATTAGCTTATATTATCTATAGTAATTTTAATCTAAATAATATTAAATAGAAAGAGGAAGAAGTTAATAAGATAGTAGATTATAGAGGTAAAAAGATAGCTAGATAAAGATAAGTCAATTTAATTAAATCGTAAAAGTAGTAATAATAAAAAACTTAGTAATTAAGATCTCGAAAGAGGTTAAAATACGCTATATCTAAGAATTAGCCGGATTAGAGTCTAATTATTAACGTGCTTATAGAGTATAATTACTATCGCTATATTATCGCCGATTTTAAAGCCTATTCGCGCTCTTATTTAGAAGAAATTTAAGTAAAATTATAGTAACGATATTATTCTAACTAGTTCGTATAATATAAATATATAAACTTTATAGAATATAAGATCGTATTAGCGCGAATATAATATCGTTTTTATTTTAAATAATAGCTCTAGCGAACGCTCTAGAGTTATAAATTAATATATTAAGAAATAACTACTCGCGTATCTCGAAGAGCGCTCTATATCGTATCTAGACGAGTTAATATATATACTTTTCGACGAATTTAATCTCGTCGTCGATAAGAGTATTATCTAGAGAACTCTATAACGTCTTAATTAGTCTTATAAACGAATAAAAAGAATAGTTAGTTAATATAATATCTTTTTATATACTAGCTAGTTCGCTACGCTAGCTAATTAATAAGCTAATTAGCTAATCTTTCTAGATAAATTAATAACTTATAAACGAATTAATAAGTATTCTCTTACTCCTCGTATTAATTAGATATTAAATTTAATAGACGATAGAAAGTATAACTAGACGCTTTTAAGTATAAGATTATAGATTAATAAAGAGTTTAAGCGATTAAAGAGGTAAAGTCTACTACCGGCGTTTACTATATAAGACTATCTATTATAAATTATCCTTTAAGACTCTATTATATAAGAGATCTTTATTAACTTCGTATAAGATTATATTCTTTTTTACTACGATAGCTTTAATAGAAGTAAATCTCTTTTAATTATTATATATAATAACGTCTTAATATATTACTATTTTAAATTTATTCGTATATATTACGATATAGATATCTTATTAAAGTATCTACCCTTATACTCGCCTAATCTTAATTCGATCGAGACCTTATTTTCGATTCTTAAGGCGTAAATTAAGAGATATTAAGATCTAACTATTCTATACTTTAACGACGAATAATATAATAATTTTCTAGATTTAACTATTTAGGCGTAGAAGAATAGATATAATATAAGTAATCTCTTTTAAAGAAGTAATATATTCTATAGATTATAAGACGAAATAAATATAGCGAAAGAATAACTTTATTATATCTATACTACGTAATCTTTCTTATTATTAAATAATATCTTATCTTAATCTAATTCGCTCTCGAATTCTTCCTCCTTTTATAATTATATATCGAAGTCTTTAATCTCGATAGTAGTTATAATATATCTTATTATAGAGATTAAAGATATATAAGTATATAATAAGGCGCGAGTAAGCTACTTTCTATATCTAAACGCCTCTATATTATCAGCTAAGTTACGTCTAATACTCGATTTAATATTTAATTTCTTTTATTTATACTCGAAATTATCGCTTTTCTATTTTTAAATATAATAAGACTTATATACTAGTCGAAAAGATATAATATAATATAAAATATTAATCTACTATATTATACTTTAATATAGTATAGATTATTAAGATTTATATAATTTTATATCTAATATAATATAGAATCTTAGCGATATATTCTACGATATAGTATATCTATAATATTATATTATAAAATAATATATATATAAAATATCTTAATTAAGATTTCTATATTTAGAAGTAATTATTCTAATTATTATTCTAATTAATAACTACGCTAAATTAATAAGATATAAA